CAATCGATATTCCGGAATTGAAATCGGATACTATCTATCATGGAAATAAGGGACCATTGAACATCGCTTACCCACCTTTTCATACAGTATTAGCAGAAGCTTTCTTAAAAGCTGGCAAAGAGCTAAAATATCCTATAGTAGATTACAACGGAAAGGATACAATAGGATTTTCATATTTGCAGAGTACGATTAAAAACGGTATGCGCATGAGCAGTAATAGAGCATACCTATACCCTATACATGATCGCAAAAATCTTCACGTGACTCAAAAAAGCATGGTGAGAAAAGTATTAATAGATCGTCGTACAAATCGAACGATTGGTGTAGAGTTTACCAAATATGGTCGGATTATATCCGTGTTCGCAAGAAAAGAAGTAATATTATGCGCGGGTGCTATTGGATCGCCTCAATTACTAATGTTGTCCGGCATTGGACCAGCTGAACATCTCACCAAATTCGGCATAGATGTTGTTCGAAATGCGCCGGTCGGGGAAAATTTGATGGATCATGTATCTTTTGGTGGACTGACATGGATAACGAATGACCCAATAAGCATAAAAATGCAGGACATAATCAATCCTATGCATCCATATGTAGCGGATTTCTTAACAAAACAATCGGGACCAGTTACAATTCCGGGTGCATGTGAGGCTCTTGGTTTCATCAATACTAAGGATCCAGAAAAACACAGCGGTTTACCGGATATAGAATTATTGTTTACCGGTGGTGGTTTCAAAGGAGATCTTCTTCTTCCGATTGTAATGGGTTTGAATCCCGAAATGAGTCAAATATGGAATAAATATCTCTATAAACATGGCTGGACAATAATGCCAATGCTGTTGAAACCAAAAAGTCGTGGACGGATAAGATTATTGGCTAATGATGTTAATGTTAAACCTGAGATTGTACCAAATTATTTCAATGATGTGGAGGATATTAAGACGATGATTGCTGGTATTAAGGTTGCGATAAAAATCGGTCAAACGAAGGCGATGCAGATGTTTGATTCACAATTGTCTAATGATACTTTTCCCGAATGTGAAGGTTACACTTATGATTCCTTTGCTTATTGGGAATGTGCAATCAGAACGATTTCTTGTACTATCTATCATTACTCCGGTACTTGTAAGATGGGGCCGAGAGAGGACCCAACTGCTGTCGTCGATCCTAAATTAAAGGTATTTGAAAGAAACGATAAAATATTTATAAAGTACAATATATATTATAATCTACAATGTTTATATATAAATTTATGAATTTACATAATTTTGCAAGCTAATGTTTTGCATAGGTAATCGGTGTTCAAGGATTGAGAGTAGCAGATGCATCTATCATGCCTGAAATTATAGCGGGGCATACAAACATACCTACTTATATGATTGCCGAAAAACTAGCAGATATGGTTAAAGAAGAATGGGGATACTTGAAGAAGTCACAATCGTAATATTTCACAAAATAGTTATACCAATTTTCACGCGTAATATGTTGTAAACAAAATGCTCAATTAAAACAAAGTTAGGCAAAACTCATTCGATTAATTAAAAAAATGATTCTAAAAAATATTAAAAAAGAAAGCAAAGAAATAACAAGTTCTACTTAAATTATTTTATTTAAATTATTCAAGTTATTTCAAATTATTTCTTCATATTGTATTTAAATTATTAAAACAATTATTTCATTATTATTTATAACATTTAAGTATGTTAAAGAAAACACCGAGAAAAATTAAGGTTAATAAAGTTATAAAAATTAGATTAAAAAATTATTTTCAAAAAAATACATTTAAAGAGTCTTTATGTAGCATTAAATATTCAAGAAAAAATAACTAAATTAAAGTGGTTTTAAAGAAAAGTATCATAGAAAAATTACAAACATAAGCGCAAATGCTGTTTAATAGTATTGAGAAAGATCCAGAGAGGATCGAAACGTTTGTTCTCACTTTTATAATTTATGTGCGATTTTGTATTTCTTCTTTTGCTTGAAAAGGTATTATCATATTTTAAATTTTAATATACTAGTAAATGATTATATATTTTTTAAGATTTGCATCATTCATGAATGCCTGTGTTATTTGCCTTGTGTTTGTAATTTTTCTATTAAATATTCATACATCAAAATATTTATTTATTATAAATACCAAAAATAGGAAGAAAAATAGATATACGAATATGAATATTTATTTGTAAAATATTGTTTTAATAGGATAATAAAAATAATAAAAATTTTTATGAAAGAATATTCTAATTTCTACGCCGATTATCTTTGTTGTATTGTACTATATTATTATTTCTTATTAATTTCATTAATTTACAAGTAATGTAAATTCGAACACTATCTTCACAATCAAATATTCAATCTTCTCAATTTTCTCAAATTAACATTAAATAATGCGTTATTAAAGTGTTTTATTTCTAGCAATGATAGAAGACGAAAAATAATAGATCGAATTTGCAAATATTTTAGATTTATATATTTATAGATTTATATATTTTAGATTTATATATACATAATTCAAAGTATAATACTTTTAAATATTATTTACTTCCTGATACTTTTAATTATTTTGAATCAGTAGAAGCTATTTTGTTTAAAGTCAAAACAGTTAAAAGAATTTTTCTACCTTATCACATATTATAAATGCCAGTAAAAATAGGAATATATGAAAGAAGGTCAACGAGTCTTATACGGTCAATGCGGGCAGAATCCGGTGTGTGTGAAGTTAGCATATCATTTTGTGGAAAATCATAAATAATTCAGAATTCTGGCTTTATTTACAATAATTCTAGAGTTCTTGATAGTTTAAACAAATAGTTCTAGTGATTAAAGCAAAGAAAATGCCTTAAGATAAACTGATATGTCAACTTCACGCAGCATATCACTTTGTCGTATGAAATTTTGCTTATCAATAATTATAATCAAATTTTAAAGATTTATAGTCCTACATGAGTTCTAAGAAGAGTTCTACATGAGTTGTAAGAAGAGTTATGGGTAAAAAAATTGTTTAAAAAATTTTCTAATTATTTCCATAACTAGAACTGTTTTGGAATGAACAGAAATATCGAAATACAGCTAGCATATCATCTGTATACATCTATAGATAAAAAGTTTCTTCATTTCATTTTATTTAATATTTTTTTAATTTAAAAGGCAGAAGGCTGTCCGGACACTTCTAAATCACTGAACGTGACTAGACGTCACATCCAATGCAGCTTTTAACAAAGCGATTCCTGAGCGATGTATGTAATGATTTTCTCGCTTGATGTATACGATGCCAATTGCCACAAAAGAAACCTAAAAGATCGTTTGCTGACCCTGAGATCGACATTGCTAAACCACTTTCTATTTTTAACCAAAATTAGTAGAATTTTTTGATGTTATCTTGAAATACGGAATAAAATCAAAAGTACTTGTGTGCGTATTTCACAATATATATTAAAACATATATTAAACGTATATTAAAATATAATACAACATATACAACATATAGTAAAATTAGCAAGGTTTATGTTCTTCGATTAATACATATTTATTTAAAAATATAATATAAAATGTCTTTATTAATTTATATTTTTAAAAATTCTAAATGCTTGATATCATTTTCCCAATAAAAGATTTTGTTCAAGATATTTGAGCATCAAAATTGTATTCATTTTATTTAATTTAAACTATTATATATGTATAAATGTAAATAATAATACCTTTTGCTAAATTTGTTGTATTTTTATAAAGAAAATTATGATATAACAAAAGTTTTTGATTTCTTCATGTTTTATTAAAAAATTCTTATTAATTAATTCTTTAAAAAATTTCAAATTTACTATTGAATTTATTTCAGACAAAATAGGTCAAGAAAATTATCGAAAAAGATATCGCTTTCTCTATTTTATTCTAATATTATTTTTATATCTTTTAAATTAAAATTGTAATAAGAAAAAGAAAAGATAGTGTAATTTATATTTTCAAAATGTATGAAGTAAAATTGCACACATATGTGTATATCAATGTATAATAATATATTAACTAATATAAATAATAATAATTCTGTATATATTCGTAATATTGTTTACAATTATTTTAATCTGCATAAAGTAATATTTTTTATTTAAACAATGCTTTAAACAGTTCTTTAGAGATAGTTACTTTCAAATTAATTTAAGGCGTTACTGAAATATAAATGATTACATACGTACATCACGATATGAATTTAAAATAATTAAAATGCTACTGAAATAATAGAGGAATAATTATACACAACAATATAATGAAATTGTTAATGCTTTCAATCTTATTTCTAATTTTTATTTTACAATAACTTTGATAAATATAAAAATCTAACTAGAAAAAAATTTATAATAAAATTTATAATAAAAAATTTATAATAAAAAATTTATAATAAAATTTATAATTCTGCAATCCGTCGAATATCACAATCGAATTTTATTAATTTATAAACTTTTAAAAATTTATGGTAACGATTTTTCATTAATATTCTTGAGTTACAATTTTATAAAAATAATCTTGAATTATATAACATTATCGATTATTGAAAGTATGAAAAAAAAATATATATAATGCGAATATTATATTATAATTGCGAAATTAATCAAATTTACAGTAACATGTACAGAATATTACGTATAGTAATCCTATTTTTAAAAATTAATAATCGAGTTGTCAATGTCACGTAATCAGTTTTTTTTATTATCATTAAAAGCACATAATGCGTAAGAAATAAGAAAAATATTTGGATTAATCAAATTTAGTACATACAGATAAGTAATATGCACAGTAATTCTGTTTTAAAAAATTAACAATCGAGTTGTTAAGTCCGTGTAATCAGTTGTTTTATTATCATTAAAAGTACATAATGCGCAAGAAATAAAGAAAATGTTTGAAACTTTTCAAAAATTTTGAAATAAACCGCTCACGTATCAACTTATGAATTCTCGATCCAAATGTATTACTCAAGCCTGATAAGTATTACGTGAACGCAACGAGAAAGCGCATTTCTCTGGTGTGTCTCGAAACGAAGAGTGGTCGGTCACAAGCTTTCGAAGCGGCAAAGAAGTCATCATCCTGACAATCGGTACAACAAAAAGGAAAACGGTTCGTGGAAAACAACTTCTCAGCGGCTCGTTAACGGTATGTATTACTGGATTACAAAAAAATTATATAAGTTCATGATTGATGTCAAAGAATAATCGAGATATGTGTCTAAAGAAAAGATCCAAGAAAGTAATCTATCTGTTGTATATGTTTTAAAAACAAGATTATATTTATTATTTAATGCATAATATTTATCTGTATGTAATTAAAACCAAATTGATCAAATTTAGTTTGGCAATTATATATAGTTGCTAATTAAACATAATAACCAATAGTTTCAGTAAATTTAATAAATTTTATATATACATATATATATATATATATATATATATATATATATATATACTCATACTCATTTTGATAATTTTACATAAGTAAAATTTATAAAACTATAATTTACATTTTAATAATTATATATTTTTTGTGTATATGTATTATATTCTATATTATAATTATATAAATTATATATATATGTATATATATATATATATAATTTATATAATTATAATATAGAATATAATACATATACACAAAAAATATATAATTATTAAAATGTAAATTATAGTTTTATAAATTTTACTTATGTAAAATTATCAAAATGAGTATGAGTATCTTGATAAATCACATTAACCATATCAAGTTATGTATAATTTCTAATAATTATATAATCAATTATATAATCAATTATATATTTAGAGAAAGAAAGAGAAAGAAAGAGAGTAACGTATATTTTTTTTATAATTTATTCCACTCTTGAAGATAAAAATATCGCTTACGAATCTGAACAAGTATTTATTAGAAGATAGAATCGTTTATATTTATAAGATGGTCTGCGACGAAGAAAGAATGCGAAAATATGTTTCAAAATATTCTCTCTCTCTCTATTTTTTTATTATTCATTCCACTATTTATTATTCTTTTATACTTTTTTATTATTCATTCCACTCTTGAGAAAAAAAATATATCGCTTACGAATCTGAACATATGAATGAAATATTTATTAGAAGATAAAATCGTATATATTTATAAGATGGTCTGCGACGAAGAAAGAATGCGAAAACATGTTTCAAAATATTCTCTCTCTCTCTCTCTCGAATATTTTGAAATATGTTTCCGTATTTATTAAATTAAATAAAAGTATATGAAACTTTGATACTTTTAATAAGTACTTTATGAAATGTACATCCTCTCTTTTTCTCTTTCTGTACACATGTACATATAGTATCATAAACTATCCACACACGTTATGTGTATAAAGAGCAAATAATTTTAAATAAAACAATAAAATATCTTAAAAAATATGTACAACTCAAATTTTATGATTGAAATTCTTCTAGGTAAAAGAATTAGAAGTTTTCAAGCAAAATAATTTTTGATATTTATTTTTTGTGGCAATTTTCAAAACCATATAATTAAAAAATTAATTTAATATTTTTTAAATATATATATATATATATATATATATATATATATATATTTCATTTTATATTTATATTATATTTATATTATATTATATTTTATTTTAAAAATTATATTTTATGCATTAATATTCATCACTTTTATACATCAAGTTTTTAGTCAGTAAATATTTTCAAAGATATTTATAAAAAATAGATATAGATGTGTAGAAATTTTTTTCAGAGAAATTTTCATTTACAGCTGTATTATCAAGTAGAGGATTTGATTTCGTATGTTTGTGTGTATGTGCGTGTGTATATATGGTGTATGCGCGTAATAATCTTGGGGTAAATATACATATACTTATGAGGATGATATATCTGTGTTTACTATTGATATAACTTATCATGGATAACTAACTATGATATATAAAATATATAATAATCATAATATATGATAAGTATATACATGGATATATTTTATATACCATTCATAGTTATCTATGATAAAAAGCCTGTTCAAATTGCTTCTGAGTAAATCTTGAAATAAAAAAATTAAAAATTACTATTTGTACAAGAATGACATTTTATGTAAAAAATTATTCTCGGCGCCTTCATATCGAATACCGAAGAACTCTTAATGCTCGGCTTTAAGATCTCGACCACAAATACTCGAGTGGTTTGTTCATATCAAAATAAAAAGATCAAATAAACCTTGCAAACTCGTTCTCCTTGACTTGACGTTGAACCGTGCAAAAACGGACGAGATCATGTGTCCTCGCGCAAACAACGCACTGATGTAGTCTTTCGATTTGAGATTACTGAGTGGAAAAGAAGAACGCCAACGAGTTTATTAAATTGTATTCAATTAATAATATGACGTGGTAGTTCTTTTTCCGAGTTGTGTGACTATCCGGTACGTATCATCCTGACATTTTTCCTACATTTATTTTAGAAAAAAATTTTTCTAAAAGAAAAAGTTTTACTTTTAGAAAATTTTAATTTTCAGTATTTTTAATTGATTGGTTTAAAATGAACTGTTGAGTCTTTAATTACTTTGTAAAATTTCTTTTAATATAAGTAGTGACAAAAATATCAATAATTGTAGAATTAAACAATCGAAAAAAAGAGAAATACTCATCGTATTTTAAAAATCTCAAAAAAAAAGTTATTAAAAAATTGCTTAGATAATTAAAAATGATGCAGCATAAAATTTCGAAGCATATAAAATGATGATTTGCATGATTCTGTCATGGTCAGGTGAAATTTTTAAATACATATTTTAGTATGTTATATGCGTAATTGATGTTAAAATATTTCCGAAAACAATGTGAATGATTAAATTCTTTCTCATTAAGAATTTTATGAATTATGAGACAGAAAAATTATAATCGTCATTGATATTACTCAAAGTGAACAAGGATTTTATAAATCATGAAGCACGAAAATTACAATTGGCATTGATACTCAGGTAAACAACAAGAAAGTAAGAATTTATATCTTTTTCTACCTATAATACATGCGTACCTCCATCCATGTAAAATCGTTTCCCAATCACACAATGATTAAATTATTCATAATTATTCGTTTGAAGATTCATAAACATTCCTACATGGTCATTCTATCCGGCATCTAGTTAATTATTTATATCTGTCATGTGTGTATATGTAAATGTATGTTTGGATCAGAGATTGAATAGACAATTAATGGGAAATGAATGGATAGTATGATTATTTATGTGATTCGATACGTTATTTCGATTCGTGATTTTTTGTGTGTTTTCAAGATTCAATAATATTCCTCATTTTATATATCCTGTTTAGGTGCAAGTCGATTCTCATAACTTACATCTATTTATATGTTTAAGTTAATTATCTTTTATTACCAATATAAAAAACTCCGCACATTTTATATGAAAAATGCTCCGGTCAATTGACTGAAATTGAAATATATTGTAGTTTAGATGGTTAAAAGCAAAAAGTCCGAAAATCAAAAAACATATAGTACAATGATTTGAGTGGTATTGAAGTTTAAAAAACGCCTATTTTTGAATACATAAATTAAATTAACATATAAATGTTTAAAGTATATATATATTTTTTTCAAACATCTGTATATTAATTTAATTTATGTATTCAAAAATAGACGTTTTTTATACCATCCATTTCAAATCATCTTTTATGCTTTCGATTTTTTGTTCGAGGAAATTTTTAATCAGCACCACCTAAACTAAAACATATTTCAATTTTACCGAATTCCAATTTGACCACTTTTTTAATATAAAATATGGGATTCTTTTGTAGGTTTTTGAAAGTTTTCAGTATGTTGAAAAACAAGATGTATTTTACCTAAACAAAATGAATGTATTTTTCTTATTATTTGTTTCCACTCTATGCGTGCTTATTAAAAGTATTTATAGTACAAGTGTACACTAAGAAAAAATAATGTTAAATCAACATCAGTGTAGTTGGAATTTATTTGATTAATTTAATAACATCATTAATCAAATCATAGTACATGACGTATTAATTTGATTAATAACGTTATTGAATGTTATTTATGATGTTATTAATAATGTTATTAATAATGTTACTGAGTGTTATTGTTGATTCAATATTATTTTTTTTTCTCAGTGTATATATTCACATAAAAAGTACTTATTATACGTATTTATTTAAAAAGTTATTTTTGAAATTATAATTTTACAGAATTATAATTCATAATATGAGGATTCTATTGCCGTTCATTATCATCGCATCAGCCTTCGGCGCCCGCGATTTTTTAGACCTTTTTAAGAATTACGATAACCCAGGTGGAGAAGAGATCAAATTCGCTAAGGCCAAGTACGATTTCATCATCGTGGGAGCTGGATCAGCAGGTTCCGTATTAGCTAATCGCCTGTCAGAGAACCAAAAATGGAAAGTTCTACTATTAGAAGCAGGATATGCGCAAAATATACTCAATTCAATCCCGATATTGGTCGGTTATTTCCAATTGACTGATTATAATTGGGGATACAATGTGGAACCTCAGAAAAACGCTTGTTTAGGGATGATAAATCGTCAATGTTCCTGGCCGCGAGGTAAAGCTTTGGGCGGTACAAGTACTTTAAACTATATGATTCATACCCGCGGAAACAAGTTGGATTATGACAAATGGGCTAACTTGGGCAACGTGGGCTGGTCCTATGCGGATGTTCTTCCATATTTTAAAAAAAGTGAAAGATTTAACGTGTCAGGTAACAGATCATTCTTTCTATTCTTAACAACATAGTGTACAATTCACCCTATTAAAAAATGTTTTTTTTCTGTCTCGTATTTTTTTGTTATTTTTTATTATATAAAGATAATTAAAAAGAAATTGCCATCATAACTATTCTATCGAATTATTTGATATAGCGAAGTCTATTGTTGACACCGTGTGGAGACTATAAAATACTATTTTCATACTCAGGTGTCAATGATTTTCTATATCACAATGAAAACGGTTACTTATGTGTGGAATATGTACCACATCACACGGAACTGGCGACAACGTTCTTGGAAGCTGGTCGAGAATTGGGATATGAAATTGTGGATTACAACGGCGAGGATCAGATAGGTTTTTCATATATTCAAGTAAATATGGATCGCGGAAAACGATGCAGCGCTGCCAAGGCTTATCTTCATTTGAATCGACCGAACTTGGAAATTATTACCGGTGCTAGAGTAACCAAAGTATTAATCGATAAAAACAAACGTGCATATGGTGTTGAATACGTCAAAGACAATGTGTTGACGAAAGTTATTTGTTCGAAGGAAGTTTTACTATCCGCCGGTACAATTGATTCAGCCAAATTGTTAATGTTATCAGGAATTGGACCCAGAGACCATCTGGAGGAATTAAATATTCCAGTGATTCAGGATTCTAAAGTCGGTTACAACATGCATGAACACATCGGTTTTCTGGGGCTAACTTTTAAAGTAAATCAGAGTGTATCATTACTACAAAACAAACTCTTAAAACCTAGCGTATTTCTGGATTATCTCCTGAACAAGGATGGATTAATGACGGTTCCAGGAGGTGCCGAGGCGTTGGCATTCATCAGAACAAAGTACGCTCCTGACGAGAAACCAGATGTCGAGCTTCTATTTGTATCTGGTTCTATTCATTCGGATAACGGTTCTGTCTTAAAAAAAGCCTTAAGAATCTCAGATAATGTGTACGACACTGTCTTTAAGCCTATCGAGAATCAAGAAGCTTGGTCAATCTGGCCAATTGTTCAATATCCTAAAAGCATCGGTCGTCTTACGTTGCAATCGAAGAATCCGTTTGAGCCACCCAAGATGGATCCGAATTTTTTTAGCCATCCGGCTGATATAGAGATTATCCTAGAGGGAGTAAAACACGCAATCAATATATCCAAGACTGAAGCCTTTCAAGCTTATGGCAGTGAAATACACGACATAAAACTTCCAGGCTGCGAATCATTTCAGTTTGCTTCCGATGATTACTGGCGTTGCGCCATTAAACATCTACCGTCCATGATGAATCATGAGATAGGTACTGCTAAAATGGGACCTCAAACGGATCCTTCTGCAGTTGTCGATCCGCAGTTAAAAGTGTATGGTATTAAAAGGCTTAGAGTGATAGACGCTGCCATCATGCCCACGATACCTTCTGGCCATGCAAATGCACCCATATATATGATCGGCGAGAAAGCTGCGGATATGATTAAAGAAACTTGGAAAAGTGTATTATGAGATTTTTCTACTTTTTTTATCCAAAAAAAATTCAAAGAGAAACTATCTCTATTATTGTGTTTATATCGTTAATTATTAAAAACATACATACATAAGATATATAAGATGTTTTAAAACAGCCGATAATATTTAAAAATTAATATTTAAAAATATTTAAAAATTAATAAAATTATCATTTTTTATTAGTTATAGGTATTAAATAAAATATATTGTTAGATAGGGCGAGATAACTCGGCCGCGTTAGAGAAGCGATTAACGAACTTATAGTAAACGCTGCGATCACCTTCTGATCATGCAAATGCATGTACGGAAAGCAAGAAAGCCACAGATATAATTTAAATAATGTGGAAAGATATAAGATCTTTGATATGAATTATTAATCAATTTATTGTGTGTAATCTCTCTCCTTTAATGTGGAAAGATTTATGTAACATCTTTGATATGATTTATTAATCAATTTAATATATAGATTTATTGTGTGCAATCTATCTCCTTTAATCAATCACAATTTATTCAAAATTTTTTATTTAATTCAGAAGCCGCAGATTAAAACAATGTGGAAAAATACATAAAAAATCTTTGATATGAATTATTAATTAATTTAATATACATATTTATTGTGTGTAATCTATCTCCTTTAATCGATCACATTTTATATTTCGGAATTTTTAAATTAATTCAGAAATCGCAGATATGTAAAGGATAAGAAAAAAAAAGTGAAATTAATTATCGATTCTGAATCGACGATTGCATATAAGCATTCAAGATTTCATTTTGGCAGTTCTCGACTCATGATTCATTATGGTATAGATGGTAAATATTTAACACAACACCAATAATTATTATTGGTGTTGTGTTAAATTATTAATATTCATTTTATTAATTTAGATATTGTTCATTTTTGAAACTGCAACCTATCTATCTATCTAGAAATGTTGGGGTAACAAAACGTTAACATTACGTTAACTTTATGTTAATGAGAAAAACGCTACGTTCTGAATGTAGGTTGCAAAAATTTTTTTTCTCACTCTTTATTAACTTTTAAATATTGTCGACTGTTTTGACTGAAACATCTTATACATATATATATATATATATATATATATATATATATATATATTCAGCAATTAATGATATAAATACAAATAATAGAGACGCAATAGGAAGAGCTAGAGGAAGCAATTTTAAATCTTCAGATGAATAGTTTAGATAATATTTAGTTATAAATATTTTGTTAACTGTAATCGATACAATGCACTCCTTTTGAGAGTACACAATTTTTTAATAATATATTTTATATTGTTTAAATTCTTGCAACATATCGTACAACTATAATTGAAATATTACTTATAATTAAAATAATACTTTTTTTTTAACTGTAAATTTTTCAAAATTGTGATACGATAGAACAATTTGCAAAACAGATCGTATTCATTGTTAAGAAACTGAAGGAAATAATTACTCTGTATTCCTGTATTTCTCTGGTTAAATTGTATAATCAGTCATCACACAAATATATGTTGTTGTTAAGCTTGAATAGTTTTAATTTACTTTTTTTATCGTTTGATGACGTTTGGAAAAAATCTTATCTAATCAATTGAGATAATAACATAATTTTCTAGAATAATTTTCTAGAATAATGATTGTGTTTTTACATAAATTAGCTTCTTTCATAGAAATTCTTTTAAGGAAAAAAATAATTGATTTCAATCAGACAGAAACAGATATCAATTAATATCTGAATATATTAAAGTATTCAATGCTTTGTTTTTCTTCACCTAGGTTACTAATGTCAGCAGTTAGGAAAAATACTATTGACATTAATACTGGTATCATTAAGATGACGGAAGTGTAGTAAGTGCTCAAGGACATTTATTTGATACGCATCGATCGTCTTCGTTAGTAACGCAAATTTATAATTTTGATAAAAACTTCCACGTATTTCACTTCCTTGCGTATTACTAACTGATAAAGTAATAAAATTACAAATAAGCAACAAAAATGATATTTTAATAGGAAATGATATTCTAATAGGAAAAATAAAAGTATTTTTTCCTACGAATAATTTAATTTCTAATACGTCAGTCATATGTAATATGTCATTTATATCGATTTAAATCGTGACGTAAATGAAGAGGTGAGTCATAGTTTTTCTGCCATGCCTATTAATCTGCGAAACGGACGCGTCTCGTGCGACATACATATAAATACACACACACATGCATGCGCAACGCGCACGCACATATTATTGTGAATACGATATGTTATCAATAACAAAGAATCATAATTATTAGCAGCATGATTATTAGATATTGATAATTATAAATTTATTATATAAGAGAATATATTGGATTCTCCTATAAAATGTTTTGTTAATTTTATATGACTATAAAAAGATAAAAGGTCATATATTTAAAATTAACTATGAAACTTCTAAAGAACTGGTTGTGTTGCATCCAGATGAATTATGTAAAATATGATCAATTGTTATTTTATACTTTCTGTTATATGTATTGTATATTCATATGTTGCTACCGAAAATATATCTTATACATTATCTATATTTAGAATTTTAACAACAATATTCCTACTTTAAAAAAACATTAATTGAGAGATTAAGGCTTTACAAGTTGCATCAACATTATTTTGGATTTAAGTGATACTAGAATCCATATGTTCTTTATCATTCTCTTTAGATAATTAGAGACAGACACATATTTAAGTATTACTTAAATCCAAAATAATGTTGGTGCAGCCTAAAATGTATAAAATTATTTACTAAAAAGTAATATATGTGTCGTTACATATGTCAATTTGTTCTAGTGCATTAATACAGCTAATTTTTTCTTAATTTAGTATCTATTGTCTCTTATAAATTTATAACATAATATATGTACTATAAAAAATATATATATATATATATATATATATATTTTATAGTACATATATTGTTATAAATTTATAAGAGACAATAGATACTAAATTAAGAAAAAATTAGCTGTATTAATGCACTAGAACAAATTGACATATGTAACGACACATATATTACTTTTTAGTAAATAATTTTATATGTTTTAGGCTAAGTTGCATCAACATTATTTTGGAACATTATTTTGGATATATATATATATATATATATATATATATATATTACACACACACAAAATATATTATAAAGTTTATTAATATCACCTTAAGAGTTTCTAATAAATTATATTTGTATGTTATATTTCTTTTTTAAATGCTAATATCTATTAGAGAGAAATACTTTCAGTAATAAAAACCATCCTTGATAATTATATTTATTAAGTGATAAAATATAAGTAGTCGTAACAATAATGAAAAGTAAACGGAAAGTAGATTGATATTTCTTTTAATTGGACATAAATAATTTTGTTCATCCACACGCTATCAAAATAGCTAATTTATAGTAGAACACTTTTAAGAAATTATTCAATTGTACAGTATTTATAATTCTATTTTAATCCTAAAAAAAGTTGTTGATTCATTTATATATAGAAATCTAATAGTACACTTGATATAACATATAATAATGCTTTTATATAAAAATGTATTAAACCACTAAATAATTTAAGATATTATCGAGACTCTCATCTTTATTTACTGCAGAGATACTACGCTTACACATTTCTATTTCTAATTTAGTAACACCAATTGTAGCTATTAAGACATAGTATGTTACCAGCATATTATTAAATTTCTTATTATTAGATTTCTGCATATAAATGAATTAATAACAGTAATAAAAACAAATACTACTACAAATGGTAAAACTACATAAAAACAAATTATTAATAATTGTTTGTAATAGCTATTTAGACAAACATGCTAGAAAATTGGAAAACACTATACTGCGAACAATATCTATCAATTTGTGTTCCGTATAAATATTTTTTTCTTATTTCATAGATATATATTTCTTTTAGGAAAGAGTAAGACTTTTTCGTTCTTATACACATTTGTATTTGTTTTAGTTTGCAAAGAATTTTCAAAATCTACAATAAAAAAATCATTGTAAAAAATTACTGTACTACTGCCGTACTTCATGTTGTTGTCATGTTTATGTTAACTATTGAAATTTAATGGTCGGATTCAAGGCAAAAACATTCGCGATATAAAATTTCAAACGTTTTATAAATATTTTTGTACAGACTTAACTGTTTTACCGAGTACCAAATAACCAATCGCTATAAGACAATTCAATAATGTTGCCAATAAATCGAGCTTCAAAGTCACATGTCGCGGTACTTGAGATCGAATAGTCGTAATAGTTGTCAAGAAATTAAAAAACACTCACCCGAGACCACAAGAGCTTCATTAGGGCCGCAAGTATGAACGTTTCCCATCGCCAAAAATAACCTCTCTTTCTCTATCTAAAGCAACGCACGAACGATGACAACAAACTGGCGCGGAAAAAACGACGGCACAAAAAGTGGGTATAGATAACACTGAGTGTAAACAACGCGGAACACAGTGACGTATTTTAACACGAAATCACTTTAAAAACGCCCGGCTCTAATCATTAATAACATACAATAAACCGTGTCAAATGTCAGTCGCAGGAATTAAGATCAGCGAAGGCCACTGTTGGAAATTACTTATGGCTGCGGAAAATCCCTATATAAGAACGTAAAAAGAAATCACTAAATTCCAAATACACATCTGGAATCATAGAATTCGTGTATCTAAAGATGTGTTTTCTGAATAATTTTTCTTTCATTTTTTTCCTTCATTTTTTATCGAGTATTCGCCAACAGAGACAAAAAATTTATCTGTTTCGCGTTATTTGCACTTTTTATCTCTCTAGCTTCCTCTTTTTTTCCTCTCTCTCTTTCTCTTTGAAATATATATATTTATTTATATAAACGCATTTATGTAAACGCAATATATTTAAATGCAAAAATTTTTAGAGAGCGCAAGCAACACGAACAGATCTATTGCAAGAAAAGTGTAGCACGTGCACTAGTAAAATTCTGTACTGAATGGTGTAATTATAAAGAACAAACTTTGGAATCAGCTGTCTAGCTGTCTAGTAATATATAAAATTCTATGGCAGCAGCTGTGAGGAATCGTAGTATGTTGAATGATGTGTCGAAAAGATTATCGAGAACTTCTGAAAGTACGGAGGTATGTATCCCACAAGATGTATATATATATTTGTTAAATTAATTAAATTTTACGAAGATTTATGTGTACTTTAAAAATTTGATATAAAAATGAAAATATTAAATACGTATCCACAGTTGCATATTGTATAAATTTTTGATTAAACATATTTTTCTGTATCATTTTTTCATATTTATTTATTTTGACAGCTTTTATAAATTTCTCTATTCAGTGGGATATTTTTTACACATAATATGATAATAAAAATAACGTATGCACGTCAATTTATAATTTGGTTAGATTTTATTCGATAAATCAAATAAATTTCGCTAATCAAATAAATTGGCAAATATTAATATCGTTGCCATAAATTTTTACAAAAATACGTTTTATTTTACATCTTTTTTAAGTATAAGACATATGTATGTACATATTTATTTATATTAATAATAATTTGCAAATTGTGTATGGATAAGTGGGTGGATACATGCGCGTGCGCATTATAATCCTACCTTAAAAATCGTATAAAAAAATGGTAAATGTTATTGGAAATTATCGTATAGTTTGTGTTATATTTTACAAAAAATTTATTATATATATAAAATATAGATATAAAAGAAAATCCTATAGAACAAATATTATTTCTGTAAATATATTTTTTATATCAGTTTTTAAAAATTGTATTACTATTCTACTTACAAATACAAGATTAAATAATAAATAGTTTAATTAGAAAAAATAAGAGAATATTAAAATATAAAGATTATATATATATATATATATATATATATATATATATATATTTTTTTTAGACTGAATTAGAATTTAATATTTCCTAAATGAAAAAGAATTGAAAAAAGGCTATAATTCTTTTTCATTTAGGTCATAATATCATATATATATAAAGAAATAAAAAATACTAGAATAAAAACAAATTTGTAAATCTTGCTTTATTCAAAAATAATCTTTGAATCTTGATAAGAACCAACATAAAATCCTATACTTAACATTGAAAAATACTTATTTCCAATAAATATATAAATATTAATCTATAAACGATTTACAAATAGCAAGAAATTGATCTGAAGCAATTTTATTTAATTAATTATTACACTTTAATTTGACTATATTTTGTCAATATAAAAATTAGTTCAAAATCTTTAGTTCAAAAACAAGCATTTTTTGCTGTAGACAATTCTACTAATTAAATTGTCATTTTAAAAACTATTTTCAAAAGTAATTGAATTAAAATAATTAGTAATTCAATTGTTGGAATTATACCAAAATTTTTAATTATATAATTTATTTGTTCTTAATTTATAATTTTCCTTTCCATACATCAAATAATAAAAAAAAAATTAATTTTGTTCATATTAAAATACTGTAGGTATTATTTAATAAGTTAATTATTGATGAAATTAATCAAAGTTCAAATCTTTAAATTATATTTATTTGAATGTTTAATAATGTATCTCTTTCTTCAGGCTGATGTGCGTGAAGATGAGGAACAAACCACTAAATTTCAAGAGATTATTGATTTACTTGTCGCAGCAGGTTACTTTAGAGCACGGATAAAAGGTTTATCAAATTTTGATAAGGTTTGTGAATTATTTTCAATTTTTACTTTATATACACAATAATATGACTTCGCAAATTATATGTTATAACAGGTTATTGGTGGAATGACTTGGTGTATAAAATCATGCAACTTTGATGTAGATGTGGATTTACTTTTCCAAGAGAATCTCACCATTGGTCAAAAAATGTATGTTTATTCTATATATAAATTTTAAATTTATTAATTTCTATTAATATATAAGAGACGTTATATAATTACATTATTTTATATAGAAATTTTCTTTGAAAATGATTTTTATATGTTTCACAAAATGTTGCAGTTCCTTGACAGAGAAAATTGTAGCCATGCTTCCTAAAATGAACTGTCCATATCGTATAGAGCCACATCAAATACAAGGTTTAGATTGTATTCATATATTCCCAGTCATTCAATGGTTAGTTAAACGTTCTATGGAAATGCGGCAAGAAATGGCAGGTTTTGTGAGAAGTTTTGCATTGAATCAATTTTATAAGAAACATTCGCTTAGTGAAAATTTTGAGAGTGGAGCAACTACTAACAAAATTGTTAAAAATTTACATTTGGTTAAGGTGTGATTTATTTCTAATGAAATATACAGATATATATGGTTAATATATATACAGATATGTAATTTTACATTTGTGATAGAAAGCCTATGAGCCACGACGTTTATTCAAACAAAAAGAAGGTTTCATCAAAGATGAATCAAGCAGATTTATGGGAACAGTATTGGAATATGAAGCACCCTTTGATGCTATTAAAACTACATCTATAACATCAATATCTAAAAGCAACAATTCAAAACATGAATTGAATAATGAAAAAAATGAAAAGGTATGAATCATTTTTATTATATTTATATTATTCGAATTTTTAGATTTATCTATTTATTTGTAATTATTCGATTTATATAATAGTTAATGTTTTTATAGAATACTACTGAACAGATTACTGCTGCTTTAGCCGTCATAGAAGAAAATTCGGTATGTAAAATTTAAAAAATATATAAAAGTTTTATAAGCTTGTTTTAAATTAACAATATGATTTTTAATAAATTTTAATAGCAAAGAAATGTTTACATTAAAACTTATACTAAGTGTACATATGCTTATATTTCTTATCCATAGTAAAAGTTTAAAAAAACATTCTTTTTGTGAAATTTACACGAAAAATATTATTTCAAAGTGGAATTGTACTAAAAAATATATTATTTTTCTTTTAAAATCAATTAATATATAATATATATAATTAAATATAATATATAAATTATATTTTTAATTTTATATATAATAAAAAGTTTTAAAAAGTAAAATTTTTAGAAATTATACTGTTTATAGTTTTGAAAATTATATTTTTATTTTGTTTGAATTATTAATTTAATTTTTTAATCTCTAGATGCCTCTAAGTGTGAATACAGTTGGAAACATTGTTGATATTCAAGCACAAGAAATTGCCAAAGTGACAGAAAAATATGCGGCTATGTCTGTTTCTAAAGCAGAGGTAAATTTTTTGATGGAGCATTCATGATATTTTTGTAATATGATTAAAATAGGATAAAATAAATGTATGATTTTATTTATACTTTTATTTATGCAGGATAGTGGCACGACTGATTTATCACATGCTTTGATTGCATTACATAAACAAAAAACAACCTTGCAATCTAGAATTTGCAAGTTAGCAAAAGAGAGAGATAGCTTATTCAATAAACTCACAGAAATAACAGAAAAAATAAAAGAAAACCGTGCAAAAAAAGAAGCTATTGAGAGTTCATTTAAAAAAACTCAAGAAATTGGGATTAATGATAATGATAGGTAATAAGGAATAATGAAATCATATCTTCAAATTACTAATTAAATTATATACATTAATCATATATATATATATATATATATATATATATATATATAAGATATTAATGATTTTTTTATATTTATTATATAAAACAATTTATACTTTCAGTATTTTTAAACGATTAGTGGAACTTCTCTCTGTACATGATGGATTGAAAGAACAAGAATATCATTTCCGAGAGCAATGCAAGTCTGATTTAAATCTTTTTCGAGGTATGTTACAAGAAGTTGAAGATGATGCTCCAGCAGAGGAAGAAGATTGCGTCAAAGAATATAAAGAACAAAAGGAGGCTGTAATACGAATGCGATTACAATTAGCTAAAAAGAATAGAATTATTGCATCCTTGATGAGACAAATGGATGATGTTCCAGGACGTTCTGAATTAACACAATATCAGCGACGTTTTATGGAACTTTATAATCAAGGTAAATTTATTTTAATTCATGAACACAAAATTGATACTGCATTATGAAATTAAGTTGACAAAGTTAATTTCGACAAATTTTGATTAAAAAATTATTGCAGTTTCAGCCAAGCATAAAGAAACTAAACAATATTATACATTATATAATACTCTCGATGATACAAAACTATATATAAGTAAGGAATTATCGTTGCTAAATTCTATTCAGGATAACTATAACGAGTATGTATCATCAATATTAATAATATTAAATATTCATAATATTAACAATATATATATTTTACAATAGAGCCATGGCATCATCAAGTGGCAAGGAACAATTCCTGAAACAATTTGAGACAATTGTTTTAGGAGTAAAACGCAATAAAGCAATGGTAATATATAACACAATAAAACACAATATCATTTACAAAATAATTGAATAATTTAAACATATACTCATAACAATAAAAACGTATATCTTAACGTATATCTAAAATTAAATCTAACGAAAATAAAAAAAATGAATAAAAATGATTTAGTTAAATTAGATTTATATATGTATATGTATACATATATATATATTTGTATGAATGTATATGTATAAATGTAAATTATATGTCTATAAATTTTATGATTGT